AAAAAAAAAATACTTTTGATATCTATAATTCGGTATCAAGGTTTAAAAAATTATAACTTGCATTCCGGGTTAACGTAAACTCAAATAAAAGACAAATACGAAATTTTCTTTCCTCCAAACACAATTTCTCTCTCTTCAATTATCATTTTGTCTTTCTTTTCATAATGATATGGTAACTTGGAAAATAGCAGGGAAAAAGATCGGTGCAGTAAAGCACCAGGTGCGAAGAATGATGATAAATCTGTTCCTGGGAGTGAAAATCAGGAATCTCCTGCCAGAAAGCCAAAATTGTTTTGCTGTAGAAAGGACCCTGATTACAGTGGAGATGGTAATTACTGTGTTTTGTCCTGTCTTTTGTTCAATGACTTTGCCTGGTTTGCATGCTTGCTTTATAAGTTCAGCTCTATTAATTATGAAATCTCTACCACTGTAGTTAATGAAAAGCAGTCTCCAAGTTCATTGCTGGCCCAGGAGGTTGATAATAAGATCAATGCAGGACAGGCATGCTAATAGATTTTGTGAATTTCTCTGGAATCCGTCAAGTTTTCACCTTTTGCTTCAAGGAATTTTGGTACAGCAGTTAATTGTTCATCACCAGAACTTCCACTTTTGGAATGATTTGGTTTAATAAGGTCAATGCAGGACAGACACCGGGACCTGGGTCGCTTGGTGGTGGGGTGCGCCTGGATTATTTGAAGTTCGGTGAAGGTGGTGGCTATGAATTTCTGCTGGATTGTTGGTTTGATGAGGATATGGGTTTATGGTTGGAGAGAGTGGCTGATGAGGGATTAAAGGAAAGAAAAGGTGGCGGTTAGGTTTGGTATTTAGAGGAACAAGATGGGTGAAACAAGATGACTATGTTTTTTTAATTAATGAGAAATTTGTAATATTTAATATAAACACTTTTTACTTATTAAATAAAAATAATAGTAAACATGTAAATAATTATATAATTTTTATTAATTTTTTTGGACATGTCAAGTATAAGATTTCAACTATTATACATGCAATATATTGTTCATCACCAAAACTGCCATTTTTGGAATGATTTGGTTTAATAAGGTCAGTGCAGGACAGACACCGGGACCTGGTTCGCTTGGTGCTGGGGTGCGCCTGGTTTATTTGAAGTTCGGTGAAGGTGGTGGCTCTGAATTACGGCTGGATTGTGGGTTTGATGAGGATATGGGTTTATGGTCGGAGAGAGTGGCTAATGAAGGATTTAAAGGAAAGAAAAGGTGGCGGCTAGGTTTGGTATATAGAGGAACAAGATGGGTGAAAGAAGATGACTATGTTTTTTTTAATTAATGAGAAATTTGTAATATTTAATATAAACAATTTTTAGTTATTAAATAAAAATAATAATAAACATGTAAATAGTTAGATAATTTTTATTAATTTTTTTTGGACATGTCAGGTATAAGATTTCAACTATTATACATGCAATGCAACTATAATTTTTTTAAATTTAATAGCCAATACAATTTTGAATAAACTATATGCTAGGGGTAATTTTCCAAAAAATAATTAGAGAAATGACATACTGATTATTGTATTGTTAAGAACATCACAACCACATGGATTAATTTAAACAATAAATTAATACATTATTATTATGTTGTTAGGAACCAATTGAAATATTGTATTTTTAGTTTAATTTAAAATTTAAAGTAATATTTATCCTTTACAAATCAAAATAATTGATTTATAGATGCTATTTTGTTCTCAATAATTATTAATGAAAATGGTTAGTTTTAGTCAATTTAATTCTTTTTTTTTTAACTTAGTAGTTCCATTAATAATTATGATAACAATTTAAATTTTAAGAGATTTTAATAAAATCTCTTAGTAGGTTATTTGTGGTCAATTTAAATTTTAATAAGAATTTTTAACTTAGTAGGTTAATTAATAATTATAAAAAATTATAAATAAAATGACGTTTGTTATTTTAATAACTAAAAATTTTGGAATGAAATTTATGATAAAGAATTGATCAAAAAATAAAAAAATATTGAAAAAAAGAGTATAATTTTGTTTATATTTCAATAAGTCACACTATTATATTTAAATAACATAACTCATTATATGCTATTTTATTTATATTTTTTAATTGTACTTATTTATTAAAAAAATATCATAAGCTACTTAAAAAAAAAAAAAATTAAAATGCCACCACGATCCTTCAACTTTCGGGCACTGAGAACCACAAATCTCACCAATCCAGAACGCCACGCCTGTATATGCCTATGTATGATTTAAGACTTGCTGTATCCTGCACAATACAGCAAGTCTTAAATTTTTCTTTTAAAAAAACACTGGGTGTAAAAGTTATTTTCAAAAAAACCTTTAAAGTATAAATCAAAAGTTCCATGTAAATATTTAATTAAATAAATAGATAATTATTTATATAAATAAAAAAATTATTAACAATAACTAAAATTCTTTTTGAAAAATTAAAAGATAAAAGTAGGCTAAAATATTTAATATTATAATATGAATTATTTACCCTATTATATTTAATAAATTTATTTATAAAAAATAATATGTTACATCAACCAACACTCATGAAATTTATTAAATAAAATAAAAAGAAAAAATTTCGTTCAAGGTTGTGCAAATTAAAAATTTTGTCAAAAAATAAATGTTTTAATTTTAAAAAACATATTTAATCTATATATATATATATAAATTATAGATAAATCACATTAACCTCATAAAAAAATTAAAAATACTTTATATAATTAAAAAATAATTTTTATTTCAAAAGAGCTGAATAAGTCAAAAAAATCATAGAGGAGTGGTATTAATCCAAACACAAATGCAAAAATTATTTTTGAAAAATATAAAATTAGTAATTAAAAAATAAAAATTGTAAAAAAAATAGAAAAGAATGATCAAATTGTTAAAAATAATGTACCATCTATATGCTTTGCAAAATTTTATTGATTTCAATTTCATTTCTCAATCCAAATTTGTGGTGTATTATTTTTACAAATGGATCTTGATGCTTTTAATTTTTTTTATTTTTTTGTTAATTTTATTATTATTTTTAATTTAACTCTAAAATATAAAATTTATTTATATTTTTTTAATTTTTTGTGTAATTTATTTTTTCTCAATATTGTCCTATAGCGTTTTATTTATTGGGGAATTATGGCAGCTTCACCAACGCGAATCCGAACTCTGTAACTTCTCCTTCAGTGATATGGATTACGTAAAAAAGAATATACAAATCAGGAAATCCGTATCCTTGAAGAATCCGGATTATATCCGCACTATAAATACAGGATACCTGAGGCGATTTATCTCACAAATCCATTCAAGCAAACCTAAGAATTCTCTTTCAGTGCTCTCTCTTTACGCACCAGCTTTCTTGCAACCCATATTCATTGTCTTCCGAGCGATCATGGCTAATCTCAGGAAAACAATACTGGCGGTTTCTTTCTTGGCGACGGCTCTTTGCGGAGTCTCCATGGCTACAGTTTACCAAGTTGGTGACTCTGCTGGTTGGACAAGCATGGGTCAAGTTGATTACCAAGATTGGGCTGCCAACAAGAATTTTCACGGTGGTGATTCTCTTGTCTTCAACTACAACAACCAATTCCACAACGTGAAGCAAGTGACGCATCAGGATTTCGAGTCATGCAATGCAACATCACCAATAGCTACTTACACCAACGGCTCCGACACTGTCACTCTTGAAAAGCTTGGCCACTTCTACTTCATATGTGGTTACCCTGGTCACTGCCAAGCAGGACAAAAGATTGATATCCTGGTTACTCCGGCAACTTCAAAATTGAGTCCTGCTCCGTTATCTCAGATCTCACCTAGTAGTGCTTCAACTCTTTCTTCTAGTAATCTTTCTTGGGCTTCGGGTGTGCTACTTGCAATCTGTCTCTCGGGATTTTGCTATTAGGAAGGTTTTCGAGTTGCCTGCTTTTTGCCGATCTGGACGGCTTTTTTTTCATTTTCTTTTTCTTTTTTAGCCGAGGACTTTTCTTTTCTTTTTTCTTATATTAATTAAGTAGCAAAACATGACTAATGGCAGATTCATATTGTATGTTTCCTCTTCTTTTTTTCGCTATATTTATTTTCTTTTTTATAAATGAGATTCATCATTAACTACATGATGTATTCAATGAAAATACAGGTTGTCCAGGACATCTACTGGCAGTATTGTTTCTTATTAATTGATGCTAGATGGTCTCGCAATATTGCACCGGTCTGTGGTATTTTTTAGTAAAATATTAATGTTATTTTTTAAAAAATATTTAAACTTCGTAAGTGTATTTTTTTAAAAATCAATAATATAAATAATGATCTTAACCAATTAAATAAATTGGTTTTATTTGAATCAGATAAAAAAAATAACAACAATAACCAACAAACAAATATATGTCTCCAAAGCGATTACAACAACCTTAGAAAAAAAAACATTTATTTAAGAGTAGAAAAATAATGTTATTTAATTTTTAGCTAATTAAATATAAAATGACAAAATACAATAAAAAAATAGATAAACAACCAATATGAGTGAACTTGAGCTAGCATAATAGACATGTAAATTGGGCATTAAAAAACGAGCCAATCCGATTTAACTAGCTAAATTCATGTTCTAGGTCATGAAATTAAAGAAAACTACAAAATAATTTTTTAAAAGAAATCGATGTCAAATAACAATATCAGAAAAGAAAATAAGCAAAAAAAATATCAACATTTGTTAACTTTTCAAACATGTAACCGAGTCATCAGACCAGAAGCACCATATATTGAAAAATAGTAAAGCTTGATCCCCAAGAAATGAAACGCTAAAGGATCAAATTGGGAAAAAGAAATTATATAAAAAGATTAAAAATAAAAAATAATAATTAAAAGAATAAGGGTTAAATTGGAAATAAAAAACAAATTAGAGGGAAAGAAAAAAATTTAAATGTTAAGGTTAAATTAAAAAATAATAATAACATTAACAAAAAAGGATAAAAAATTTAAAAGAATCAAGACCAAATTGTAAAAAAAAATATACCATATATTGGTTTTGCACAATTTTAAAGATAGCTCTAATGTGTTCTAAATGCATTTTCCATGAACGACTATATACCAAAATATCATTAAAAAAACAAGAACAAACTTACACAATAGCAGCTTAAAAATAGCATTCATGGTTGTTTGGAATGTTGATGGTGCATTACACAATCCAAAAACCATGACCAAGTACTTATAATGTCCATTATGAATTTGAAAAGTAGTTTTGTGCACATCTTCCAAGTAAACTTGAATTTGATGATATCAAGCTCAGAGATCCAACTTTGTAAAACACTTAGGTGCCATCTAGCTCATCAATAATATCATTCATAGTCGAAATTGGATAGCAATCCTTGATTATAACTTCATTTAATGCTTTATAATCTATACAAAAATGTCATGAGCCATCCTTTTTCTTAACTAGTAAAACTAATGAGGAAAAAGTACTATGACTAAGATGAATGGTCCTGTTTTCCAGCATCTCAAACACTTAGTGTTTGATCTTGTTTGATCAACTGGTAACAAAACCTGAAGAGGTTTACGGGTTTAATGCCAACAAACTTGAGAAACTTGTCAAATACTAGTAAGATCACCCATTTATTGGGGAGCAGCAGTTGTCATAAGCCCAACTTATAATACCTGAAAACCTTGTTAACAAATCTTTGAAGAGGAAAGAGTACCCTAAATCATACATATATAAGAAGGGGTTGCTTCAAAGCACCCCCCGAGTAAAAGTCAATGCTTCCTCACTAATACTTTATCTTTTAGAAGATAATTGAGCCACATACTCCAGGTTGCTGACCATTGATAAAAGCCATCTTTTCAACACTTAAAATGTTAGGAGTTTCATCCTCAAAGGTTTGAGGTAATCTGAGAGTCTATTTTTCTAAAGAATAGAAAAGGAAAGATATACAAAGTGAAAATAAAAGAATGACTTACTCAAGAAATCTTCAAATCAAACTTGACAAAAACTACAAAAAGATAAAAGAAAAAAAGAGATAATTTATTACCTTTATTGTTGGATGAGTGAAGATAATTTATTACCCTTATTGTTGGATGAGTGACCCATTATGTCATCCCAAATATTTTAAAACATATTTAATTGTTGTATTAAAGATGAGTCATCATTTTAATTCTTAAGAAGACCCCTTCCAATGAAAATGTGATATATGTCCATAAAAATCCCAATAGTTCTATGTTGAGCAGACAAAACATATGGGAAAGGTAAAAGATCTTTTTAAAAAATAAGTAGTTTTTTCAAAATCGTTGCATATTAGATATGCAAAAACTTGGAGGGCTCTTAATGGATCAATATATTTCATACTAGAATTCATTCCAGGCATATGGCTAAAAGGGTCGAGAGAAAAAAGAATCATTATAAAAGCTTGGTGAAAGTCAAAACCAATGAGAAGAAGGTTTGGAAAGGCGTCAAACTCAACATCTTAGGGTTCGGCTATGCATCACGTCCAATGATTTGTGGATCTGATAAGATGCAATACTCAAATATCTTCGGTTCAACTACACGCCAGGCCCGAGCACCTACGGGGCTAGCAAGATGTCAGACTCAATTTTCTTAAACTCAACTATACATCAGGCCTAAGCACCTAGGGGTTTGACAAGATACTAAGCTAAAAAATCATTGGGCCTAGGATTTCTTTAAATCCAAGCACCTAACATGGGAATCTAGGATCAACATCTCTCTACAATCTAATTGGGCGAAATGTTCTTTAAGAGTCGTTCATACATTAATTAATATTAATTATGATTATATAAGTTAATCTTATCGACATTAATATTATGTATAGAATGATATAGGTTTGTCTTTTGTAAACACATGGTGCTCCCATTAACATTAATGCCATGTAAAAAAACACTCACATCAACATTAATGTTGATGTAAGGGTATTAGATATGTAAAGACTTTGAGGGTTATTAATGGATCAATATATTTTATACTAGAATTCATTCCCTCATAAGGCATATGGCTATAAGGGCCGAGAGAAAGAGGAACCATTATAAAAGCTTGGCGAAAGTCAAAATTGATAAGAAGAGGGTTTGGAAAGGCGTTAAACTCAACATTTTTGGGCTTGGCTACGCATCAGGCCCAATGGTCTATGGGTCTGATAAGATGCAAGACCCAAATATCTTTGGTTCGGTTAAGCATTAGGCCTGAGCACCCACGGGGCTAGCAAAATGTTAGACTCAATTTTCTTTAGCTCAACTACACGTCAAGCCTAAACACCTAGGGCTTTGACAAGATGCTAAGCAAAAAAAATCCTTGGACCTAGGATTTCTTTGAATCTAAGCTCCCAACATGGGAATATAGGATCATCGTCTCTCTACACTCTAACTGGGCAAAATGTTCTCTAAGAGTTATTCATACATCAATTTATATTAATGTTGATTATAAGGGTTGATCTCATCGACATTAATATTATGTACAAAATGATATAGGATTGTCTTCTATAAACATGTGTTACTCCTATCAATATTAATGTCATGTAAAAAAACATTAACATTAATGTTGATGTAAGCCCCCCTGGATGAGAAGAAGAAAAAGACTTACAACCCCTCGAATAAGAAAAAAAAAGTTCAAGATATAAAAATTATAAATTAAATACTCTTTAGACAACTTAGAGTATTTATCTTTTTCTTTTTAAAACATATTCTTAGCATTTATTATATATGAACTAATAATCTTCGCTCTCTAACAATATATTCTCAATATTTATCATACATGAACTAAAAAAAAACATTCTTAGTTGTAAAATTTTATTATTTATTTACTATAAAGTCATCGACTCAATTATCAAAAATTCTTTAAATTTTATTAAAAATAATTGTTTTTTAGGAATTGAGATATTTATCACTAATCTTATTTACCCTCACTTATAGATGGTAAAAGGTTGACATTAATATATGATAAATTATTCTCCAAACACTGAAAAAGTTAAATTTCTTGACATATTGAATTATAAAACATTATCACATATTATAATTAACATTTTCATGTTTCAACTTTCAAAGATCACAAAAATATTGCAAGTCACGATGATTTCGGCTTATATCAAAATCATTCTGAACGATTGTAGCAGAAAAGGAGCGTTAACTATAAATTAGTACCTATAATCTTTTAAAATGAATTAAACAATTCATCTAGTTTCAAAAACTATTTAATTAGTCCTTAATCGCTAAGTGGTTGACAGATTCGTCAATTCTGTACTTAATACCTAAAATATCCTTTAAGGAAAAGGGGGAGGAGGGAAAGACACCGGAAAGGAGAGAAAAAGAGAGGATGAGAATGGAAAGAAGGCGAGAGTTGAGGAGATAGAGAGAGGAGATGGTGGTTGTGTTGGCGGAGGAGAGAGAGGCAGCGAGAAAGGAAAGGGTATAAAGAAGGAGAGAGAGGAAAGGGAAGGGGGAAGAAGGAAAGAAGAGAAAGGCAAAGAGAGACAGAACAAGGTTATTGCGTTGGTAGAGGGAGGAGGAGAGGATATATGCAGGTAGAGAGGTGAGTTGGTTGACGGTGGAAATTTACGAGTTGAGGAAGCAATTTTGGAAACAACAAGCATTAAAGTAAGGACACCTTATCACCATTCTAACAAGCTCGTAACAAGACAGTAAAAATAGTTAGAAAAACAATCTTTTTCTAGGCAAGACATGATTTCCCTATGCATTTTATTAATTAACTAGCCATGAACAATTAAGAAACAGTGTAAGACATGATGAATGCACAACTCTAGATGGGGACTCACATACCATGTCTATCGAGGATACTTTAGGCAAGCATTCTTTGTTGGCAAATAACTGAAAACTGACCAGATGCCTGAACTCAAAGACTCAGTCAAATTCCCCCCCTTTCTCTCGTATTTTTATCCTCCTTTCTTTCCATGG